GTATGTTTATGAGATCAGAGATGAATCTCAAATTTAGTTCTCTTTCCTAATGAAAATAATGTATACATAAAAGGAAGCTGTCATTACCATGCTGACTGCTGCTCACCATATGATCAGTGAATCTTTATGAACTTCAATACACATTAATTAACAATTCAATATCAGTGTAATGTAATAAAATCACAATATGAAAGATAAAATCAAGCAAAAAACATACAAGAGATTATTTAGGTTTTTGACACTACATACAGCTAGACAGTTATAACTCACTGTTATATAATTACCATTCATATGCTATATGTTAATGAGCCAAATATTGTTAAACAAATTACCTATTATTATGAAAGCAATTAACCCATTAACATTGGTATATTTTGAAGCCAAAAATAAAAGATTCCAGGCGGCTACAAAATCGGACTCTGTCCGCCCACTGGCCGCGGCCCGCTGCTGCATCGGAGCATGAGCCCTGATACAGTGTCACACTGGCGGGATGTCCGACACTCGTCGTTAGCGGGTTAATTATTCAATATCTCACAAGTTGACAAAGCAATTATTACATAGAAAAATAATGATCACAAGAGAAGCAATTGCTTAAATTGAATAGACATGCTCTGCGAACTGAGTATTTTTCTAAAAGAATAAACAAATAGTTAATTATGATAAGCACAATTTAAATTGTATTCCCTCCCAATACCTTGCTCGTTCTTGTGGGAAGGTGTAGGACATGGAAATTGAGGCTTAATTTTACTAGTTCTTTCCTTCTCCCCATTCCTCTTCCATATCTTCTTCATCCACTTCTATCCCATACCTAAATTGGAGCCATGATGAAATGATGAAAGGCTGGCTTTATGTCAGTCATCTCCTACTACACAGTCCTTTCCAATGTCTACCTCTCTGATTACTACTCTTCATCCTTATTGTCCTCCCCCTCCGCCCCCCACAGAATAACTACACTCCACACCACCCCATCTTCGTCTCGCCCTCATCATTCTTCTGCTTCTACCTCTGCAAACCTTCTGAGCACTCTCTTTGGCCCAGCCAAGTGGGAAAAATTCTTTGTAATTCCCCCACTGCCCTCTATTCTGAGAATACCCTTCACATTCAGCTGTGCCTCCAAAAACAATTAGGCAAGGTTACCTTTCTCAGTTGCTCTGATTGTTCACGCCATGCCACAGTTACATCGGAATCCCAAGCTCATGCACTATCTACCGTAACTAACCTTATTGGCAGATCCATTCCTGCCGAACCTCACCCCTCTCTTAACCCATTAGCGACAGGTGTCCCAATTATGAGACACCCGAAAAATAAACATTGCCGGGTGTCCCGCCAGTATGACGCTGTATCGGGGCTCGCGCTCCGACACAGCAGTTGGCCACAGCTGGCGGGTGGACAGACTCCGGGGAAGCTCCACCTGCCCGGAATATTTTATTTTTGGCTTCAAAATACACTGGCGTGTATGGGTCAATACTTGTGCTGCAACTGTTTCTATCCCCACAAATGCTTGTTCTATCTACAACAAGGACTGGTCAGACTGTGAAAATGTCCTACTTACCTGCCTTGCTGATTATGATACAGTGGCAAAATAATTTAATATTAAAAATGTATTATTTTAAACAAAATAAATATATATAAAATTATATATATAACAATCAATTATTAATATAATAAATTATATTAACATTAACAAATAAATAATCTATTAAGACAAATTAAAATAATTAATAATAATAAACAACTTTATATATTATATTAATTTTTTTAAATAAACTAAATTTATGATTATTTATTAAAATCAAATAAACCAAAAGTTTATTAAAATTAAAAATTAATTTCAAATATATTGTAAAAATTATCAAATAAATAATTTAATATTATATTTTTAAATTATTTTATTTAATAATTTATTATTTTTTTAATAATAATAAAATAACAATATAAAAAAATATACAAAATTATTATTTTTTTAATAAATATATATGTTAAATTTATAATAAAAAATTAAATAATTAAAAAATTAATATTATAATAAAAAATATAAATTTAATATTATTAAATTAATTTTAATAATATTAAATTAAATAAAATATAAAAATTTTTAAAATAAAAACAAATAAAAAAATTAATAAATACAAAATATAAATTTACACGCAAAAATATAAATTAAATATAATTATAAATAAAGATCATATAACAAACAATTAAAAATCAGATATGATATATATTAATAAAATAATATAAATAATAAAATTTATTAAATAATACCAATAATATAATTTAATTAACATTAATTAATATTAAAAAAATTTATAAAAAATAAAATATTTAAATAAAATAAAAAAATATTGTAAATAATATTAAAAGAAAAAAAATGAAAAATATAAAAAAAACCAATTCAATTAAAATATAAAGGTAAATTAATATAAATTATTAAATAAAATTAATGATTTATATATAATTATTTAAATAATTAAAATAAAAAAACCAAATATTAAAAATACAATTAAATAGCATAAAAATAAAGAAAATAAAAAATAATTTACCAAGTTTATTTATATAGATTATAATTATTTTATAATAAATAATTTTTAATTAATTAAAATTATATAAAAAATATATTTAAAATTTAAAATATTATTTATATTAAAAAAAAATTAAAGATTATATATTAAATTCATAAAAAAATATTAAAATCCTAATTTAGATAAACACAAAATAATTTTTTAAAACACAAAAAAAATAATTTTATAAATATTATTTATTATAATTAAATTATTTTAATAAATAAATATAATAATATGGAGCAAATATTTAATTATTATATCAATAAATTTTCATAAGGGTTATTAAATAATATTAAAAATTTTATTAAAAATAAAAAAAAATAAATATATCCCAAAAAATTACAATAAACCAAATAAAATAATATTATAATAAAAAATATATTTATTTTATAATAAATTAATTATATAACAAATAAACAAAAAATCAAATAAAAAAAAAATTAATTATTATAATTTTAAATATGTATATAAATTTCAAAAAATTTAAATAATTAATAATATAAATTTTAACACAAAAAATAGTTAATTTATTTTCAATAATTATATAATAATATATTAAAAATTTTTTAATAAATTTTAAATAATTTTATATAAAAAAAATGCAATTATCAAATGATTTAAAGAGTGAGTGCTTGTAATAACCCATTTAACATTATCCGTAGTACCGTTACGAACGCATACACATAAGACTATAGACTATATATTCAATCATAAATATAGAGATTATCACGCGTGGAATTGTAATATGCTAAACAAAGAATTAGATGCAACGCCCGGGAGCCCTTTAGCGGTCTATCGATTGACGTGTGCCATACCACTCTGTTTATATAAACTAAATCAAGGCTTCAGGTAATAATGACGCGACGACCATTGCAGAAGCCATCGCGTTCAGTATCAGCGGTCACAACGATTAAGTCAGACACAAATACACTCTGAAGGTATACCATAAACACGGACGTTACACGATATATCTTACATCAAATGTTCTCATATTTTTTATCAATAATTATAGAAAAAAAATTCAAATAATATATTATATTATATAAAAAAAATTAAAATATATAAAATTATTTCCAAAATAAAAAAACTATAATAATTTATCATTATTTATAAATATATTTATTAGAAAAAGTAAAAATATTAATAATAATAAACAAAATAAAATAAATTATTATACACAATTTTTTAAAAAATTTTTTTCAATAATAAAATTAATAAAAATCAATTTTAAACAAAAAATATAAAAAAATTACAAAATTTATAAATTAATAATATTAAATAATAATACATCAAAAATAAAATATATAAATTTAAAATCAAAAATAAATAAAAGAATAATATAAAAAAAATTTATATTTATAATTTAAAAATAATAATAATAAAATAAATAATAAAATTTATTATTTTAATAAAATTGATTAAATTTTAATTTTAATAGATATTATTATTTACTATTTTATAAATAAAAATCAAATTAATAAAATCAATTTTAAAAAATAATTAACTAATTTAAAAAATTTTATTAAAAATAAAATATTCACAATAAAATCTTTAACTTTAAATCAAATTTACTAATTATATAATTAATAATATTATAAAATATTAAAAAAATATATATTTTATAATAAATTTATTAATACATAAAATATAATTATAATTAAAGATAAATAATACAATTATTTATATAATTAATTAATATTATACAAAGTAATTATAATATAAAATTCCCCAATTTATGATTATATAACTAAACAAATTAATTTATTGTCATTTATATATTATAAATCTTAAATATCTTAAAAATATTAAACAACTAAATTTAAAATTACAATAGTCGTTACATTTTATCATTGTGTGGGTATTTAATATTTGATAATAAACTATTATTTATAAAAATATTAACTTATAAAAATTATAATAAAAAAAATACTTAATATATAAAATTATTGATATTCAAAATATACTTTATTTAATTAAGTAATAAATTTTTTAATTAATATTCAATACAATTAAATTTAATAAAATAAGTAAATATTTAAAAAAAATATGTATAAAATTAAATTTATAATAAAAAACAAATTTATATAATGTATAAAATAATTTAAATCCCAAATATAATTTTATTATAATAATTAAATTATAATATAAATAATATTAATTTTTTTAATACTTAATTTTTTAATTATTATAAAATAAATAAAATAATATTTTATTAAAAAATAAATTTAAATTATAGATAATTAAATTTATATTAATATATAATAATAAACAAACTTATTTTCAATTTTAAATAAAAAAAATAATAAAATAATTAAAAAATAAATTTAAATACTTATAATAAATTTAAATAAATATAAATTCCAATATAAAAAATTTTAATAATTAAATATAAAATAAAAAATTATTATTAAATAATAAAAAATAAAAAAATTTTTTTAC